TCAGCCAGCAGGAGGTCCCCTTTGGATTCTTCTCTAGGGGCTGTCACATGTTGAGCCCAGAGTCATTTCCCAGAGTCCTACCATCTCGCTCCAGGAAGCAGGGGTGAGTGAGCCAGTGAGTTCTACCCTAGGCCTCCACAGCAGCTGTTGTCTCTCTGGATGGCTCATTCTTGGAGTGCTTCCGCCCTCAGCCTAGACTTTCCTCACCATTGTCTCTGATTTGGGTCATGCAGGATGCTTCCTGCAAGAATATTCTTCCTGGTGCCCTTTCCACACATGCCCCTAGAGTGTAGACCTGTGCTATAGTGTCTGGTGAGCAACGTAAGACTACTTAATGCTTAAAATGTGACTATTCTAAATTAAGATGTGCTGTAGGACTAAAATGCGTATCAGATTTCAAGCCTTCCATACGTTAAAAAGATATGTAAACTACCTCAATAACATATTGATTGTACATTGAATAATATAGACATGTTAGGTTAAATCAAATATATTAAAATTATTTGCACCTGTTTCTTTTTCCTTTTAATGTGACTGCTGGAAAGGTTTATATATATATAAACTCAGAGCTATGGTTCACATTTTATTTGTTAGACAGCACTGCTGTTAGTTTCTTTGTAGTGCGTACCACATGCATTTTGTCCCTTTTTTCATTCCTTACCCATCTCTCTTGATTAGAACATAAGCTTCCTAAGGGCAAGTAATGTGTCCAGGCAGTGCTGGACATCCAGTTCCATGCCTGGCTTTCAGTGGGTGCTCAGCAGAAACACAATGACTGGTGAATGCATAAATGATAGCGTGGTAGATGAGGGTGGATGGAAGGGCACACCCCAATTGTGGGGCGCCAGCCAAATACCAGCACCTCTGCACAGGTCACAGAGATCTTCCTTTCTTCTTCTTCTCTCTGTACTTATTTTTTTCTTTAGCACAACCAAAACAGAATATAGTCTTTGAAAACTTTTGGGCAAAATCAAAGGAAAGCTGAGGAATACAAATAGCATAAAACCAATTACTGTAGCGCTTGGGCTGTGATCCTATAGTAGCCGGAGTCAGGTCATGGACTGACTAAAATTTAAGAGTGAGGCTAGTTCTCTGGCTTTAGCTTTCATCTGTCTCCAGGTCACATAGGCTTGAAAATGTTATCTCATTTCCCACCATTAGTGGACTCTTGAACACTCATTTCAGTTCAAGGAGGAACTAACTTTTCCTATTACAAACCTTTGCTTCCCAGAGAACTCTTGTTCAAGGTTTATGATCAGATACTCCAAGGACAGTTAATCCCTTTCTTGCCCAGTCAGTCCCCTTTCTCTGTCCCAACTGGCTTCCAGATTCATCTCGGTGGGCACCACCTCACCCCATCTAACTCAGCACAGCCCCTCTGACAAGTTTGAGCAGCTTGGTCTTGGTTAACAAGGAGACTGAGTGTCCAGGCTGAAGGCCACACGGATTGAAGGACCTCGGGACTGCACTCATCTGACAGCAGCCTCCGGATTCCTCTGGGACCTTCCGGGTGGGGGGGTGGTTAGTGTCTGCTTTCTGTGAAATCAGGCCTGAGAACTGTCCCAGCCAGACTCCTGAAGCCTCACCTCATCCCATTTCCACCGAGTTCCCAGCACCAGCGTTTAATCTCTGCCTCTAATAGAACAAAAATTTTTTTTGACATTTTTTATTTTAAAGAAAAAGAAACAAAAAGCACAAAAAACACATAAACATAAGAACAAAATTCCAGAACAATAAGATAGGAGGGTAACAATGGTCAACACATTATCTCTGAATCACATGTTATCTCTGAATTAGTTACTCAGAGTACAAGATATCGGCATTTAATTGTCCAGACAATATTAGTACAAACCTGTCTTTTCAGTGGACTGACAGAAATTAGCAGCACATCTATCTTAACTATTTTTAATATATACAAATATATCTTTTTCCTTTTGCTTTTTCTTTCCTTCCCCTTTGCCATTCCCCTAAACAAGCTTCTCTTTCCTTTTGAAGTTTCTTCCCATTTCACAATATCTATTGTACATTTTAGATTACATTTACTCTTTCAGCTTCTCACACTAGGGAGATAATATTTATTTTTACACATTTGTGTCTGTTTTATTTCACTTATGAGTATGGATTTAAGTTGCATCTATTTACCTATAAAAGTCTCCAGTTTATCCTTCTTTATGGCTGAGTAGTACTCTACTATATAAAAAGACCACATCTTTTTTATCCATTCCTTGGTTGATGAGCATTTGGGTTGTTTCCAAGATCTAGCTATTACAAATTGTGCTGCTATAAACATGGGTGCACATATATCACTGTAGTACGATGTTTTTAATTCTTCTGGGAAAATACCCAGAGGGGGAATAGCTGGGTCAAATGGGACCTCCAGTGCTAGTTTTTTGAGGAGCCTCCACACTGATTTGTACTGTGGTTGTACCAGTCTACACTCCCACCAACAGTGGAAACGATAGAACAAAAATTTTGTTGCACTCTCCAGGACTTACTTTTCAGGCAGTTTGCAGTTTAAATTCTACCCGAAGAAAGAGAAGCAATTACTTCAGGGGACTTTGTCCTGTTTCCTCTCTGCCTTGTACCCACACACTGCCTGCCCCTCCCCTTCACTTTCCTTCCTCTTTAGATTGAGCAAGGGCTTCCATATTTAAACTTGCTCCACCCTCCTGGTGATCTTCAGGGAAATTACTTAATCCAGCAGGGCCTGACTCTCATGTGTAAAATGGGGACTATAATGGAAGGTACTTAGCTCAGAGGGCCCTTGGGAGGTTATGTGAGAATCACATAGGAGATCCAGCAGCGTGCCCAGGTGTTCTATAGACGGTAATCCCCTCTCCCCAGCTGCTGTAGGACTTATTCTTTGTCTGCCCAGCATGTCTCTGTGGCAGCACTCCTGCCCATTACAGCAATCCTGAGGTCCTGGAGGTTTGACACGCCTGAGCCCCACCACCAGCGTGGGCAGGCTGCCTTACCCAAGGCAATCACCGGCGGTTGCTGCGCCAGACCCTCTCACTCCTCTCTTCCAGGCTGTCACAATAGTGTCACCCTGAAGCTCCCAGTTTTCTTTGTCCCCCTGGGAAAGAGACCAACTCAGAGCGGAGCTTGATTGAGAGATGGACCAAGAAAGTCAGCAGGTCTTGCGCCCCCGGATTTGATGGAGCCAAAACCAGATACACTCTAAAATTGTCGAGTTGTGTGGATCAATAAATGCCCATTGGTTTTGCTTCATTGATTGCTTGTTTTTTTTTTGTCACCTACAACTCCAAAAGCCAGAATTAAGATGCTGCTTTTCCTCAACCTGACTTTTAACTTTGGCAGCTTTGTGTAAGATTTTTCATGAGTCTCTGGCTCCCCTAGGTGGTAGAGAATAAATTTACATCTCCAGGATTCCTTCTGTCTGCATAAGCATGCTCATTTCTACAGTCTGTTTCCTCTTTCATTTCTCTAGTCGCAAATGAAATTGGGTTTACTTAGCTCACAAAAGCTTTGACAGGGATTTCTTTTTAGATGGTCCACCTGCTTTTTCAGTTATGATAGCTCTGGGCCTGCAGCAAATCTCATCCCTGGTCCTGCTTGGAGAGGCCCCTGGGTTGGAAGCAGTAGGTCACCCTTCTCTAGAAGCAGGCAGGGCACCAGACCACCATCTCAGTATTGTTCGCAGATTGCACCGCTCATCCCTAAGAATGATCCCAGACTCCTGCATGCTTTTAATTCATCATGGGAATTGGGATCACCCAGATTACTTTGTATAAGGAAGAGTTAACTATTTTCAAAAGTTATACACTGGTGAGCATTTTCATTGCATAATTTGTAAGGACATGTTTAAAAACAGAGGTTTGTTCACATTGGTTATGTTTTATCATGATTCATTTCCTGGGGAGCCATTGCTATTGCAAAAAAAAAAAGTCCTTGGGACTCATTGATGTTTCAGTACTCAGATACAATCTGGAAACACATCTTTAGCCTGTGTCACTCTATGTTGTACTTGTTTTTACAAAATCTTGATTATTCCTTCTTGTGACACTTGCATGTCAGAAACACTTAGCTTCTTCCCCCACAGGTATCGCCCAACCCTTTGGCATGGTACTGTGGCAGAGAAAGGGACTGTCTTTCCCCCACACTACTCAGCTCAGGTCAGGTGTCACCTTCATGGGGCCAGGCTGGGTGAGATGTCCTACTTCTGTTTCTAATCATGTCCCATGCACAGAGCTGTCATTATAATGATTATGTTCATCAATCATCTGCTTGTGGGCTGTGTCCCTGCTGTGATTTGAATGTTTTGTTGAAATTTGGTCCCTCAGCGCCAGAGTGCTGGGGGTGGGGCCCAGCAGGAGGTGTTTGGATGCTGGGTGCAGAGCCTTTGTAAATAGATTAATGCCATCTCTCAGGAGCAAGTGCATTCTTACTTTCAAAGAACTGGATTAGTTCCCTTTAGAGCAGGTCATTATAAAGCAAGGTTATTCTTGGAGCTTTTCCTCTTCTGCACCTGCCTACCTACCCTTCACTTCCCATCATGAATTAAAGCAGCATGTGACCCCTCCTGGATGTCTCCAGCTCATCTTGGACTGTCCAACTATGAGTCAAAATAAACCTTTTATTTACATATTATTCAGTCTCAGGTATTCTGCTAGAGAAATAGAAACAGATTAAGACAATGCCAAGCTAGATTGAAATACATGAGGCAGTTGTTATGGTTTGGGTATAGATGTCCCCCCCAAGCCTCATGCAGTCATAGGTGGGGCTTTTTCAGAGGTGGCTGGGTCTAGAATATGTGATGCTGGGATTGAGGGTATGTGATTATGGCCCACTGATTGGTTTGGCACTGCCCTAATCCCGGCAGCCTAGATACAATATAAAAGGGCAGAAAGATGCCGTTAATGTCCCTTTTTGCTTTGCTACACTCTGCCCTCCCTGAATTGTTCTCCTCTACCATGCCACTCTGCCTTGGAAGCACCGGATTATGGACTGAAACCTCCATAAACTATGAGCTAAATAAACCTTTCCTCCCTTAACTGTGGGCATTGGGTATTATGTCTCAGCAAGGAGAAAAGGGATAGCAAGCAGTCTTTATCCTAGGTTGGAAGCCCTGGGATAGCAAGTAGTCTTTATCCTATTTTTTCTTAATGCCCAGTGCCTCCTAGCATGATTGGCCCTTATCAAACACTCGAAGTTTGCTGAATGAATATATAAATTAGAAGTGCTGGAGAACAGGAACTATAGTCCAGAAGCCTAAGAGTGTTGGGATGGAATTTTTCTTTGAGACAGTATCTCCTTATATATTTCATGCTGGTCTTGAACTCACTATGTAGCCGAGGCTGGCCTCAAATTGGTGGCAATGCTCTTGGCTCAGCCTCTAGAGTTCTAGCATTATAGGCACGAACCACCACACCTGGTAAAAATTTAATAAGAGCACCTGAGTAAATGACAGGATGACATTGCTAATACAAAGTGGATATGTTTGTTGAATAAATGAAGGAGAATCCACAGATTAAAACAAAAATGATGGAGCTCAGAGATCTGAAGTTACTTCCCAGAGTCACATAATTAAAGTGAGATAACTGAGATTTGACTGTGGCTTTCTCTAGTGCCGAAGCCTTTGGCTTCATCCACCTCCACCTTTATGTTTTCACCCCAGCAGGCAAGCAAAATAATTTTTTAATGATTTGTGAAGTTATTAGAACAATTTTACATAATGGCTTTTCATGGGAGGAATTCCACAAATATTTGTTGCATGAATGGATGAATGAACAAACCTGGGGAACTTTCAAAGCTGGATGAACAGAAGTGAGTGACTAGCCCATTTATGAGCAATACTGCAGCATTCTCTTAGGAAATGTACTAATAACATGACAGCAATCCACACAGCAGAAATATAATGTGTTATAAAATAACACTGGGGAGGGGTCATAAGAACAATGCCACAGAAGTAAAGGCAAAGAAACTAAAGTTAACCTTTTTAGGATACTGACAAATTCAGAATGTACTCAGAATATTCTTATGAGTCTTTCACAAAGGAAAGGAGGCATATTAACTTTCTAAAATCTGGTTCTCTAATTTAGAATTAGCTCCAAAGATATTAATGCAGATCTGATTTTTTGAAATGTGTGGGCTGTTGATGAGAGAAGCAGTCATACTGCATGAATAACACACTAAGAAAAACGAAGCTAAATGGTTTCATTGATTGATAATCCTCTAGTGACCAAGAGATTAGTAACCAAGACACTAACAACTATAGCTGTATTTCTTGTGTTCCCATTTCTCAGTAGGTACTTTGCTAATGTTTCACTGTGTTATCCATTGGTCCCCATAAGACCAGAGTGAGAAGGAGTTCTTAACTGCATTTGCTGGTGAGATTTCAGAGGAGTTAAGTAATCTTCCCAAGAGAAGTTACAGCTGCCAGGATTCACAGCCAGCTCTGTCCACTCCAACAGTGCAGAGTGTTTTCTGTACTCAGAATATGCTTATGAGTCTTTCACAAAGGAAAGACTAGCTGACCAGGCCCTTCACTTTGCTGTGCTTCTAAGAGCTGATAGCTCTTCTGTATCCTGAGAGCAAGGATGCAGACTATTCCTCATGGTATTCCTGGTGTGGAGTGAAGATCTTCCACATTGTAGGAGCTCATCCAGGTTACTCTGCATGAAGAAAGTACACAGTTGACTTGTGCTATGTTTGCATATGGTTGCAGTGCATATCCCAAAGGTTTATGTAGCAGAAACTGGATGCCTGGGGAGGAGGTGTTGATGTGGACATAGAGTGTAATGGCAGGTAATTAGATCATAGGGATTCCACCCACAAATGGATTAATGGTATCTTTCAAGAGTGGACTGAGTCTCAAGTGACTAGGTTAGTTTGTGATGTCACAAGGGAGCCTTATGGAAGGGCACCAGCACCATGCTCTTGGACCTCCAGAACTGTGAGCTAAATTAACCTTTTCTTTGTAAAGTACTCAGTCTTGGGTATTTTGGTATAACACAAAATAGACAAACACAACGTGTTAGGAAAAAACAATTGAAGACTAATAGGCATTCTAATTATGTAATCTGTAAAGACAAATTTAAAAGCATAAAGGTTTGGCCATATTGGTTTTAGTCATGATTAATCCTATGATCATGGCTATTGAAAAAAGCCAACAAAGTCTTTAGAAGCCTTCTTGAAACCAGCTGAAGGCTTTTCAGTATTACCATTCCCGCCCCCACTACACCTGGCAAGCTACCCGACATCTTTCCAACAACAAACACACTGTACTCTGCCCCCAGGAAGAGTTGTGAGTGTGTTCAAGAAGTGTGGTCTCACCAGTAAGAGTGGAGCTACCAGTGCTCCAGAGGAGCAGAAAAATCCTTTTCTTTCATCTCTGCCCCCCAAGTGATACAGCTAGATTGCACTTCCTCTTTCTAGAAAGCTGTGCTCCACACTGGAAATCCCAGCCAGTGTGGTGCAGAGTCCAGAGGGAAAAGAGTTTCTCATAGTTTGTTGTGGTTTCTTCTAGGAGACAAGGGAAATTTTTTTTTCACAGTCTTGCACCTAATGATGTAAGGAGGCTAGGGCTTCCCTTTGCTGGTTTGGCCTCTCAGCCCTTGGCAGGTCAAACAGAATTCAGACCAGACCAGAACATACATACATTGCTTAGGAGCCTTGGCAGAAGTAGACCAGGAAGAGTATCCTAGAACCATCAGGAGGCAAAATGAAGAGTCAGTGATTGGTAAATGATGAAAAGAATAAGAAAGGAAAGAAGGAGGGAAAAGGAAAGGGGCATTCTTTGATTCTTCTCACAAAGCTTTGTAAAATGTCTACAAAGAATGGAAGAAAGTACAGTCTTCAAGGTGTTCACAGTGTCTGTGGGAATTCCCACAGTGTCTGTGGGAATCAATAAAGAGACCTAAAAGTCTGAAGAACTCAGAAACCTGAAGCAGGTGAGCAGCACCAGGAAAGAGGAATGCTAGCAGATGGACAGTGGTCAGAAAGGGTCTTCTAGAAGAGGGTGTGGTCAGAAAGACAGAAGTCCCAAAGATTCTCCCCATGCCCAGCCAGTCTTATAGTAGTAATATGAGATAACCCCACAAAAAGCCCCAAGCCCCATAGCTATCTTCCCTATGCAGCCTCTGTCATGGTTTGGCAGATATTTTGCAAGGGAGAACAATATAATAGAGGACACATAGTTTATCAGGTTATTTATAACAGTCACCCAAAGAATTATATACAAGAGAGTGCAGGAAATATGTCCACATACTTTAGACCAAGAAATCTAGCTGAAGGCCTGGATCCCACAGAAATGTCCTGCATGAGTCCATCTGAATACTTAAGAGTTCATAACAGTGCCTCTCACAAGTCCAACAGGAGGCCCACAGCCCATAACAATATCTCATGCAGACCTGTTTCACAGATCTGAGCTGCAAAGGCCCAAAGGTCAGTGGTGGAATCTAGGAAGTCTGTGCCAGTGGGATGAAGGATCTGTCCTTGCAGGCTGAGGGATCTGCACTGGAGCCCGGAAGCGACATGTAAAGTAAGAACCACAGCTCCCCTGAAAGGTACCACAGCCACCCTCAGCAACAGTTGACGTCCCAAGCTCCTTCAATGACCAGGAAAGCTGAGTTCCCATCAGGAAAGACAACATGACAAGCTTCTCCAGGAAACTGAGCTGTGCACCTTCTTCCCCTCCAGAGCCAGGAACTGATGCTCAAAGTGAGCACCAGAGCTCCCCTAAAGTGAACCAAAGCCATTTCCAGTACCAACAAGGCCACAAGCTCCTTAGAGGATGAAAACAGCCAAGGTCATCAGGAGAGCCAGCATGACAAGCTCCTCCAACAGAACCAAGAGCTCCTTACAGCTTCTACCAGCTCCCAACAGCCTCTCTCAGTTCCCAACAGCCTCTTTTTCTTCTTCTGTAGTTCTGCCTCTTATGCTGCTGGCAACAGTCTCCAGGGGCACCTCCCACACCCAGCACCATGCTTACTCAATTCAGCTGGGGGTTATAAGTTCACCACCAGTTGTCAGTCCACTACAGCCTGTAATATGAGAGATATTTGAGTGGAATCTACTGAATTAAAATGTCTTTGTTCTAGGAGCAGTCATTTAAAATCACGTGAATTTGTTTCTTCACATGGCTGGGAAGAGTGGACAGTGTTTGTTTTATGAGAGGCTGATGCCAACTTTGGGAGAAGATGTGGCACAGTGGGGTGGAGTGAGGCACAGGCATTCGGCAGCCAACAGTATGAGGGCCCATATCCACACTGGCACAGCCATGGCAGTGGGCACCCAAAGATAAGCAATCATATCCTCTATGCTCAAGGAGGGCACAGAACAGCCCAGAGGCAGGGAGATTTGAGTAACTGGAAAGCAGCAGCCAGCTCCTGAGCCTTGGAGAGAAGGAACTGGGGAGGCTGGAGAAAGGCAGAGAAAAGCAAAGCTTAGGGAATCAAGATGCTTGCCTGACTTTTTGTATTGGGTTGGCCCTGTTTCCTCTCCTCAGAGACAAAAGGGAAAGTTTGGATTGTCCAACTGCTAAGAGAACCTTTGTGTGTTAGCTTTTCATCACTGTGACAAAATACCCGAGAATAATAATGTAAAGGAGGAAAGGTTTACTTGGCTCACAGTTGCAGAGATTTCAGTCCATGTTCAGCTGGTTCCTTTTCCATTTTATTATGCCTGTATACAACTAGACAAGTGGACTGTGATTATACCCATCCTTGCTAAGACATGACTCTGCAATCAGGTAGTCATTTCTCTTGAAATTTCTGGGAGAAGGAATTCCACTTCACTTGGTACAAATAAGATAAGAATAATTTGACTTAATAAAAACATCCCTGGATGCGAGAGTAATCTGTCTGTGACACTTGCCACCCCAATGACTGCGGGGCCAAACAGGCTGACCTGGCAGATGGCTTCCTCCTCTCTCACTACTCATGCACACCCCTCCTACATTTGTGCACGCAGTTGAAAAGGACACCCTTCCCCAACAGAGGAGGCCTGTTTTGGGGCCAAGAGTATGGAATAGCTGTGCTCCCTGGTACACCTTTCAAACAAGCTCTCAAAGTCCACTTGCAGAAGAACGTAGGGTAGCCAAGCTTCCAAGACTCCGCAAATATCCAAATGAGGTGCTGCATGTAGCAATCGGTCCTTTAAAGATCTTGAAAATATTACTTATTTTATCACTCCTAGTCTGAGTATAGCATTTGTAGTGGATTGACAACTGGTGATCAATTTATAGCCCCCACCTGAACTGACTAAGCCTGGTGCTGGGTGTGCGAGGCCCATCTGAGGACTGTTGCCAGCAGCATAAGAGGCAGAACTGGAGAAGAAGGGAGGCTTTTGGGAGCTGAGAGAGGCTATTGGGAGCTGGTAGAAGCTGTAAGGAGCTGTTGGCTCTTCTGGAGGAGCTTGTCATGCTGGCTTTCCTGATGACCTTGGCTGTTTTCATCCTCCAAGGAGCTTGTGGCCTTGTTGGCACTGAGAATGGCTTTGGTTCACTTTGTGGGAGCTCTGGTCCTCACTTTGAACATCGATTCCTGGCTCTGGAGGGGAAGATGGTGCACTGCCTGTCTCCTGGAGAAGCTTGCTGCGTTGGCTTCACTGACAGGAACTCAGCCATCTTGATCATCAGAGGAGCTCAGGACCTCACTGTTGCTGAGGATGGCTGTGGTACCTTTCAGGGGAGCTGTGGTTCTTACTTTGCATGTCGCTTCCAGGTTCCAGGGCAGATCCCTCAGCCTGCAAGCACAGATCCTTCATCCTGCTGGCACAGACTTCCTAGATTCCACCACTGCCCTCTGGGCCTTCACAGCGCAGATCTGTGAAACAGGCCTGCGTGAGATATTGTTATGGGCTGTAGGCCTCCAGCTGGACTCGTGGGAGGCATTGTTATGAGCTCTAGGTCTTCAGCTGGACTCATGCAGGACATTTTCACAGGATCCAGGCTGTCAGCTAGTTTCCTAGGTCTAAAGTGTGTGGACAGATTTCCTGTACCCTTTTGCATAGCATTCTTTGGGTGACTATTATAAATAATCTTATAAAATATGTGTCTGGTATTCTATATTATGTTCCCCTTGCAAAATATCTCCCAACACAGGATTAATTAGTCTGGAAAACTGCCACCCAACAAAGGATCTATAACATTGCAAATATCCCTAAACTCAGATATATCCTGGCTCCAGAATCTACCCAACCTGTCAAAAAATACACCAATATTTCGGGGGTTAAAATAAAAGTGCTTCCTTTTAACAGGGCAAATTCAAAGAGTCTGTACCAAAATGACTCATCTCTATGTACAAGGACTTTGAACTCACCGTTATAGTTCAGAATAAAAACGACATAGGATACTAACTCTTCTTCTTTTCCCTTTTTTCTTTCATGCATTGAAGAAACAAAGAAGAAAAGAATCTATTTCTGGAATATGAATTTAGTTCTCTGCCCAGGGCAGAAAAACTCCTTTCTTTACAATACACTGGCTAAGGTAACCTTAAAGGTATGAAATTATTAATTTTTATTAACTGTTCAGGTATTCTAGTTGTATTCTAGTTGTTACTTTGCAAGTACGGAAGCTAAGGCAAAGTACGAAGTTATAGGTACATTTCTAGAGGAATGGCCAAATGAGACACTGACCCTTCTTTCTTATGGGATCTACACAGGCTGGAGTTCCCTAATTCATTCAGAGCAGGGTTCTCTACTCATTTCTTAGCCTCTGTGCCTCAGAAAACAAACAGGTTCTAGTTTCCCTAAAAATATATCCTGAGACTGCCTTTTTTGTGCCACTTAGGCTTAAGTCAAAACTAGATTGTGAGCAGGAGCCCTCAACAAGACATAGTTTTGTCCTTGGAAACTTGGCAATGTCGTGCAACATTTCTGCTTGTTACACTAGGGTCAGAGGAAGAACAGGACACTGTGACTGGCATCTAGTGGGTAGTGCCAGGGATGAACTTAAACATCTTACAACATAGCGGACAACCCTTACGAGAATTATCCAGCCCAAGATATGACCTGTTCCAACGCTGACAAATGCCTATTAGAAGCAAGCTGGTAAATGTTTCTTTTCCTAGTCAATTCATGATTTTTGAGTTAACAAATATTGAATATCTATAGATAGCACTGTAAAAAGGAAAAACAGTCACTGCCTTCCCAAGCCCTATAATCAGAGGGCGGAAGTAAAACACATGTATCACTGAACATGGTGGTGTACATCTGTGAGGACATAAGTGGATAACAATAAACAATCATGGGGAGGTGCTTCAGATGATGCTTATGTCCAGGGCAGACTTTCCAAAGGTGGTTATTTGCTTTGGACAGTAAGTAACAGAAACCCCAATTCAAGTTAGCTTATACAGTGCGGAAATATAGTTCACATAACAAATCCACAGGTAGGGTGAGTCTCAGGACTGACTCAAACTCATATCTCTGGCTCTGATTTCCTTAGTTCTAATCACCTCCATAGGTCAGTTTCCTTTCCAGGATGGTACTAGGGTCATTGTAATGGTTCTGGGCCTTGTAACTTCATACACAGACCTGGGGAAAGGAGAAGGAGATGGATGGAAGGGAAAAGCAAGGGCAATCTTGGAGAGAGGGGGTCAGAGACAATCCGCAAGTCCCAGCACTCTAAGCCATAGTGCTAAGAGGCAGTGTGCTTGGGCTGACTAGGTCACATGCTTGCCCAGCCCTGAATTAGCCGCAAGAGGAAGGGATAGGCCCCTTGGCCTAAGCCAGACAACAAACACCTTCGGCACTAGGCTTGACTCCAACTTCTCTTTAATAATAACAAAATCTGAACTGTCCTTTGAGAAGGGTGATGTGCTTACTCCTAGGTGTGCATGCAGAAACTTCCTTCATGGGAGGCAAGACTTCAAATGAGCCTCAAAGGATGCCAAGGAGCTGGTCCACCTCAGAGCCTGAGGAAGAGCTCTGTAAGCAGGGGAGCAAATACAAATACAAATACAAACACGCTGATGTCGGAAGGAGGCCAGTGTGGCTTACTCAGCACAGTGTTCCAGGGGGTAAGTGTTTCCCAGTGGATTTGGAGGGGCCAGCTGAACAACTTCCTGTACGCTGAGTTGAGGTTTTCAGCCTCATTTGTTATAAATGTAATCCTTGGGTCCCCCACCCCCATCTTGTCCTGGCTGCTAGCAGACGGGATAAAATTCTCTTAATTTTATACCTACCTTTTAATAAGTCTCTGCTCCCAGCACAATTTCTTCATGCATTCCTATTTTTAGGTACTTGTTCTAATAAGGATAGAATAGATTTTAAACTCAATATAAGCACAAAATAGATTTTTAGCAGAACCAATTAACTTCTAAGGAACAGTTCAAATATATACAAACAAAAACTCTTTAATAAGCAAATACAGAAAGACTCAAGTGGGCAAGACTTCAGACAGCTGAGCATGCCTGATGCCCTGGCTTTGGAGAGAAGCTGTACAAAACATGTCTTTACATGGAACAAGTCTTATGCTGCTCTGTCACCTTCCAGCTTCTGCTGCTGGGCTGGAGACTGCGGCCACCAAAATACTGATTCACAGCAGAAGTTGAAGGTCATGTACACTTTCATGTTTATTTATATATCTGCTCTTTGTCCATCCCTTCCTTTCAAGGAAGCTAGCCAAAGCTTTTTATATCTATTTGAATTATTGCTTTGAATATATTTTTGTTTGGGCTTTTCGTTTCTCAATTTTGCCTTTTTGCTTTATTGTTCTTTAAGAGTTATCTGTGTTTCCAATTCTAACCATCTTCTCTTTAAAACAAATATGATATGAAACTCAGTAACTACAATGGTAGTTGGTAGCAGATAGAAAAAACTCACTTTAATTCTATGTTTACCTCTGGACCCATAATATAAAACAAGAATCTGTGGGGATGGTTTTTATCTGACTTAAGTTTCAATAAAATTTCTGGTACTGACAAAGATACTACGGGAAATTGTGTGTAATAAAAAATATAGCAACATTACAAATTGTGTGTCATAAAATATAGCAACAATAACAAAAATGGCAACCATTTTAATTAGATAGTATGGTAGTTCTTATGGCTTCACTTACCTGCCCTATGAATAAATAGCTAAGGTGAAGGGATTAAACAAAATTGTCCATGCAATTTAACATCCACGACCGTATGAGTTGAGATTGAAGTTCTGAGACTATTTTCTGGTACTATTCTTACTTCAAGTGAATGAATGCTGTTTATCATACTAGATTTTTTATTCATATTGAATCTTTCCAAAATCCGAGCAAAACCAAGAATTATTTCCATTCGACAGGCTTGCCTAGGATCACACACAGTAATATTACATAATGATATGTTTTATAGACACTTTTTTATCACTACATAAACAGTGCATGTTAGAGCACAGGAAGAATTAGTAATTATGTCAGTGTTGCACAACTCACGAATTAATGACAGCTAGGATTCAAGTCCATGAAGTTCAATTCTAGGAGGGCTAGTCCTCTTACGTGCTGTAGTTCATATAAAACATCTTAGCATCAAGTGCCAGGATTTGAACCTGACCCAAATCTGTCTGCTCCCTCTTGCCTATACAGTAGTTTCCTACATAGGAGACACATTTTAGATCTCAAATGTTCTTTCCGTTCAAAACTGCTGATTCCACAGATTTTAATGTTTTCATATGCAGTGCGGGGTGTTAAGGATGTATAAGAATCACTAGAGCCTAACATATTTTTAAATTTAAGAATACAACGACTCTCAGATAGCTACTATTATTGTCCCCTTTTCACGTTTAATTAAGTGAAGCAGGCAGCTTGTCTAAGTGACAAGCCAGTTACCAAGAGGCATACACAATTTACATGTAAAACAAATCAGGGCCTCTGACCTTGCTCCTGAGTTAAAATTGTCTTGCAGGACAAGGAGGAACTGCCATACTCTTTATGAGTCAGATGTTTCTGACTTTGGGACACGACTCTATCCTGTCACACATTTATCCAGCAACACACAGTGTGCTTATTTCTGGGGACCTAAGGCAAGTAAACAAGCCGATCTCAGGCAAACTGAAAAAGACACGAAAAGATACAAAAGATCTGATACCGGCAGCCTTGTCTCCGCTTGTTTCTTTACTAAATGTCAAGTAATGGGGGCACAGCTTTCCAGGGAAAGAAACAAAAGCTACAGAATTTCAGATCAAACGAGAAATGGAGAAAGTAGCCGGCGGACACCCTTTCAAACTGCACCCCAACCAAAACCCGCTTTCCTTGCGGGGTAAAACAAAAACAAAAACAAAAACAAAACACCCTGTGACATTTTATTCTACAAAAGAATATCCCGCTGGCTGCTGAAGGAACACACTTAAACCCTTCATCTAAGGCGGAACGCATTAGTTGTCGGGGCAATCTACACAACAAAAGAAGTGAATCCAAAACTAACACACGAAACAACGCTTCTTGCCAGAAAAGGGGCTCCGGACACGCCGGCCGCTCCCAAGACAAAGCTGAGTTCCAGCACGCACCGCGGTCAGGACTTCACATCCCGTCATGCAAGGCGCCCAGGTCCCCCGCCCCAGGACTACGCTTCCCGGCATGCTCTCCGGACGGCTTGTTCGGCCTACCCGCGTCCGCAGGCCTGGGAATCGCTGAAAAGCTGGGTCTTTGTTCCTCCGCATAGCCTCCCTTTTAGAGGCTAAGGATCGACCGCCACGACTCAGTCGCAAATTATGACTATTAGGAGTCTTTGCGTTATTCTTGATTGCCTATGTGATTAGGACATTAAAGGACGGGCGGGGGTGGAGGAGGGTCAGCCCCGCCCGCTTGAGCCAATGGCGCCCGAGCGGCGGTCCTGCCACCATGGCAACCGCCGCCTTCCCCGGGGGACCAGGCACCCATTGGGTAGAATCTTTCCAGAAGGCTCGAGAAGAAGGAAGCGGAAGTGGCACGTGGAGGGGCCGGTGGAGGCGCCGGTGAGTAAATGCCGCAGATTCTGGAAAGTTCTCATCAGTGCAATACATAAGCCTGAGGAATTGGAACCTCCCCTTTTGGGTCGGTAGCCGGGCGCCGGTGTGCGAGCGAGCGAGCGGCAGTCGGGTGAGGCGGGCAGCCGGAGCCGCGGAGCGACCCCCACAGGCCGATCGCACCCTGTTCTCGGGCGAGCCCCTCGCCAGCCGCCGCCGTCCCCGGGAAGCCGGAGCCCCCAGACCCGCCGGGGGTCCGCGCATCCTCTCGAGTGACAGAAGCGCGGTCGGTACCCTGCGGGCCCCAGCGGGAAGCCGCGGCGGCGGAGGCGCGGAGAGGCGGCCGCAGGACGCAGACCGAGATCCGAGGCAGAGGCGCGCGAGCCGGCCATGTCGGTGGTGGGGCTGGACGTGGGCTCGCAGAGCTGCTACATCGCCGTGGCGCGGGCCGGGGGCATCGAGACCATAGCCAACGAGTTCAGCGATCGGTGCACCCCGTAAGTGGAGCCGGCGGGGAGCGGGGAGGCGGCCCGGGGGCTCGGACGCCGTGGGGACTGCAGGCTCCGCGGCGATGGGAGCCGCGTGGGGAGCGGCGCCCCTCGGGGGACCGGGAAGGGGACTCCCGCGGACGGAGAGGCGGGGGCGCCCTGGGGATGCACAGGGCCCGGGGGAGTCAGGGCCTGGGTCGTCCCTTTGAGCAGGCTTCCTGCGGGAGCCGGGCTGCGGCACAGCCCGCG